AACCTTTGTGAGCCCCAACTTTTCATTCTTTGAGTAATTGCTTCTTACTAATGTTGTGAATTTTTTTAATTCTTGATTTTTCTAGGAATTATTTCACATTTCAGCTGCTTTTGTTTTCTACTGCTATCATTGAGGGTTCAAGAACAAAAAATAAGTATTCAGGTAAAATGCCTGATCCATAGTAGTGCTTGGCATTGTATTTGGCTGAAAAGATCATATACCTGTTTGGATGCTTGATCTGAAAATAAAGTTGTGATGACTGAAATTTTCGCATGTAGTTTTCTTGGCTGCCTCTAACAAATTTGGTCTTATTTGTTCTTGTTTTACCAAAAAGATTTTGGCTGTCTGCTTTTTTTCATGTTGTCTTGATCTGCAGTAACTATATGGATATGTGCTTGTACTTGCTAAATATTTTAATTTTGCACATTTGGCTGCTTGAATTTTAAGTAATTTCTTTGGGCAATGAGATTTAAGAGCTTGAGGCTGTAAGCAAAATATCAATTTGTAGAAGTTTTTAATTTATAAATGTATGTTCATTGCCTACTATATATTTTAAAGTTTCCCATTATACTTCAATAAAATTTAAAATTCATTCCTCAGTTGCACTGGCTACAACTCAAGTGCTGTTTTCAGGCCTTATATGGGTAGTGATTGCTATTTTGGATGACAGATTTAAAAAACCTTCATCATAGAAAGTTCTGTTGAACCAGGGTTGTTCTCAGTAGTGTCAACAGTAAAGTGTAAGCTCATTTATGATACCAGTTTTTAATAGCAGTTTGAATAACTCTAGAAGCTAAAGTGTATGTTTCATCTTGAGCATACTTCTCTAAATATGTAGTAGACTCCATCTTGAGTATATAAAACTTTATTTTGCCCCAAACAATTAATTTCCTTCATTATTTATGCTCATTTAAAGTGAAATGGTTTCTTGTAGCAAAATTCATGAAGCAGTAAAAAGTCAAGGTTTTAACCTAAAAGTGAATCCTGACCTCAGGACTTGGTTGTTTAATAACTTCCGTTAAGTCACTTCTTTTGTGCCTAGGTTTCCTTCTCTATAAAATGGAGGTATAACATTAGTTACTGCAGAGGATTAATTGAAAAATACATCTAAAAACATGCCACTTCTGTTTAAAAATTCTTTCTTCCAGTCTTTTAAGTCTTCTTTTCCTGAATCAGTACATCTAAATTGATGCATAGACCAGACAAATAAGACAAATAGACTGATGGGATATGTGCTGAATTTACTGTTCCAGATGTTTAGAGAGGGTATCAGCAATACTTTTTTCAAAAGCAACACAAGTTTAGTTTCCTGTTTACAGTCTTGAGTATCTCTTTTGTAGAGGAGGATCCAGAGCAGCCATCTTTGGTAGTTGTCTGTTAGTGTTCCCCTTTCTGCTTCTGTTACCAGTTTCGACTAGTTAGTAGTCTGCCCCCAGTGTATTCCAGTCCCAAGCAATGACTCCTTATTACCTGTAGGGTACCTTTAAGTATGTTATCCATTTACTGACTAGAGATTGAAGATACTGAGTGTTCTGGATTTAATGGTATTTTCAGGCCCTGTTTAGCTCTGAATGTATCATATTACTAAACTCAACAAGTGTCACAATGGAATGGGAGAGGAGAATACACAAGCAATTCTCTTAAGTAAGCAAAAATTAATCATACGGCATTGTGAATTTTCAGAACTGAAAAGTACTTACAAACATATGAAGATCCTATTTGATACAAACTTTAAAATTTGAAAAGAAAGCATTTATTTTGAGGCAGTAACTGAGGATTTGCAATGAGTCTAAACTGTTTTAACTCAGTTGTTTATCAAAATGCAGTTGAGCAGTGGCTACAATGTTAACATAAGCTTTTAGTTTTATGGGTTGAACTCATTTCACTAGAAACAGTTTACTGTGGATGCTGCATTGCTGCTGCATTGCTGCTGCATTGCTGCTGCATTGAAATGTGCTTGGGTTTTTATTAAGTAAGGTACCTTTCTTAACATAGAAAATAGTTTTGATTATTTTTCATTATTAGGGTTTAGAGAGCTTACAATCAAAATGACTGACGTTAATGTGGCATTCTAGTCTAAACTTGAAATATTTTAAGTTTGCTCTTACATTCTTAAAACATCATTTTTTAATCATATGCAGATTGAATTTGTCTTTGTTGTACTGCAAATATATTCTTATAAACAGGATAAATTTTTTTTTAAAAACTATTGCAAAAAAGATGGGCCTCCCTGGTGGCTTGGCACAAGGGGTTAAAACGCAACCTATGAAGCTATCACAGCCTCTTCAGCACAAGTTCAGTCCCCAGCTGGCCAGGGAGCAACCCAGTCCTCTCCTGTCTCACCCACTGCTCCCCTCAGCAGTGTATTTCAGTCAAGTCTGCCTGTTCTGTTCCCCACTCTGTCTCTGGAGAATCCTCTCACCCCCCCCCACACCTCTGGCCTATACCCCAGTTCTTGGATGCATAAATAAATAAATCTTTAAAAAAAAACTATTGCAAAAAAGAAATGAGATTTGGTTATTATAGAACACCATAAAAGTGGGAGAGTTTTATTATGAACAGTGCATTGAGAAGCCTGTATTTAGTAGCTAGCTACTTATTTTCATTTGGTGTTGAGAATCTGTTACATAACCTTATAGGCAAAAATGTGAAAGAATTTTTCCTGTTTTGTAAAAGCTGGTCTGTTGCATTTTCCTAGTTTATGATAATTAAAATTTTATGCTTTACTTAGATATAAATCTAGATGTAATTTCCCCCCCCCAATGAAAAGTGTGATAGCCTGTTTTATTAATTCTAACACACACTTTTTTATACTTTAACAGCTCTGAAAAATGAGATGAGTCAAAATTGATTTGTGTTGTAGTTTTATGGAAACATCTTTTTCTTGGTATCATAAACTAATGAGGTCTATTATAATCAATGGTGTCTTAGGCTTGATGTAAAATGATGGTTGGTTCTTTTAAAAGTTGTCATAGAACTTGGATTCATTGTTGTGATGTATACGGTATCTTTATCGTAAAAAAAAAAACTTTAAGTGGTGAGATAGCCCATATAATTCATAATTAGAAGTCTTATTTAGATCTTTTAGTGTTTCCTTCAGATCCTTTTTATTCTCACCACTATCATCCTTGTGTTAAATGATAAAACTGAAACAATTTAATAACAAGTTTGAGGTCTGCTAAAAGCCAGTGGGAGACTGCAGTAGCTCACAAGCAGTGAAGCACTCCCAGCAAGGGATTAGGCAAGAGTGTGTTTTATAGACTATTAGAAGAGGTAAATTGGGAGCGGGGCTTGATTGGCCAAGAGAGTTACCTTATTAGACTAGGGGTCCTACTTTCTAGGGGAAGTAGTAAGCTAATTAAAGCTGAATTGGAAGATTGTGATCAGGGTTAGGTTTTCTTGACAGTGAGGTATTTCCCTTAAGCACAGGTACCTGTTGATTTGTGAATGGGCCTCCAAGGGAGCTTCCATTTTTTGAGTCCTGAGTTAACTTTATCACTAGTTAGGTACTTTGCATTGAATTCATTCCCTTTCTGTGGGAAGCAGTCCAGACCAAAAAGAGAATAAAAGGGAGATGAAGAGAAGGAGAAAAGATATGGTGTCAGGGTAGGAGTGGGATAGTTTTGAGAGTAGTGAATGGAACCTCCTACAGGGTCAAGAAATGAAAAATGGGGCCATGGAACTTGAGGGAGGTGTTCAGTAGCATTTTTTCAACTAGCCAGCTTTAGTTGTCCAGAAATCTTGTTCTGTTTAGGTCTCTGATTATGATATATTAACTTGTGAGTTACCCATTAGTAGCTAAAATCACCTCTGCCATATTGCCTAGATTCAGAAAACTTCAACTCGTCTTGCTAAGACCTTACCCATTTCAGCTTTACAGGCAAATCATCTACCTTCTTTTCTATACACCAAATAGAATCTGTGTTTCCTTTCAATGTGCCATCTGAAAATGACTAAAGGGGAACCTGCTTTTTACAGGATGAATTTTTCTACAAGGAACTATTACCGATACATGTACAACTAATTTGTTGGGTTTTATAGAGGGTATGGGACTACCCAGCAAATATTTCGGCATTTAGGTAGAGATTAGTACAGTTTCCCTCCCACCCCCTTATTTTTGTTTTCAAAGCAGTAATTTATCTAGTACAAATTAATATTGCAAAGTCCATTGTATTTGGCTTTTTGTTCTCTAAACATGAGAAAGTATACTTTTCAACAGTTTGTCCATACTCTTCAGTAATTTTTTTTTTTGCATGCCTTAGTTGTTACTGATTTAAAGAGTCACAAAGCATATCTGACTAACATACTCTATTTTAGGTAACATCCTTGTAAGATTTAAAATTTAACATTTTAAAATTTTAATACAGAACAGTTACTGAGATTTTTAAAATACCCTATTGGACCCTTGTGGAGCCACTCTGATTGCTCCCTAGAGTATGCTTGGCACTGTCATGAGAAAGAATTATGAGGATTATATCCAGTATCTGAAATCTTCAAGTTTCCAAAAATCCCTTTCAGAATCAACACAAAAACTTTGATCTACCTTTTCATTTTGTTGAGTTAAGCAGATTTTTCAGAGTCATATATTCAGGATAATTTCTTTAACTCAATTTTGTTATTTTAGAATTTTTTAAATTTATAATAGTATTTTCATAGGGTTTTTCCCCCAGTACATTACATTCTAAACTTTTTTGTACTATCTTGGGCACCAAATAACTATTAATTAGTAAGAGAAGGAAAATGAATTCCAAATTAAAAATAACTGACTTACTGAGAATGTTTTATAGCAAAATCCTTTGCAAACTGGAGAATTCTATAATGTTTTTGCCTACTATAATGCCTCAATGACATGTAAAAGGATGAAACACTGACTTGTGATTAGTATTTCAAATATGGGTGCAGAATTCCATGTATTTAAGAAAAATATGCAATCACCACTTTATAAATTTAGCACATAATTCTTTAGTTTTATTGTTCTGAATTATTTTTTCTTTTCTCAGAGGATGTACTGAGTAAAGATGCTGGGGAATGTGCAATATGCCTAGAAGAATTGCAGCAGGGAGATACTATAGCACGACTGCCTTGTCTATGCATATATCATAAAGGGTAAGTTTATTTTTATGTTAACCTAATTAATATTAGAGGAAAATATTCTCAGTTTCAAACTTAGTAGGTTACTGATGAAAAGACTTCTTTGTTGAAACTACCCCACGCCCATTTCATAGAAATTACAGTCTTTTTTTCCCTACTGGAACTAGGATTCTGACCCACATCCTAAAATCTTATATTACTATGTTTGTATCCTAAAATCTTGTATTTACTGTGACCCAAATATTAGTCACAGTATATTTCATTTAAACCTGCTAACAACCTCATTTTACAATTAGGGAAATAGGCTGAGGAAACATTAGAGAAGCTCTCCAAGTTCACATGATTATTACTGAATGGCAAAGCTGAGATTCAAGCTGTTTGTTTGATTCCAAAGTCATTCTGGTTTCTCTTATATAAAGTCTTCTTGTTTTCAGAGCAAAACAGAAAAAAGTTTAGGTAAAAAAAAATTATTTTAAGTTATCGCCAAAAAAAGAATAGAAAACTATAACTTTGAAGTTAATTAAAGAATATGGTGGACTTTTATTTAAAGGTAGTAGTAGTTAAGGAAAGGGGAAACAGTAAAAGTACAAAATAGACAGGCAAAAATAAACCCAATATCAGTAATTATAATATATTTAAATATAACAAACTCAGCAGTTGAAACAGATGGAAAGGTTCTGATATGCTTTAATAAGCAATACACTTAAACTTGAGAATATAGAAAAACAAGGAATTAAAAAGATAGAAAACTATGTCCATGTAAATACTCACTAAAAGATAACTGACAAAGTTAAATATCAGATATCAGACAAAATAAGCTAGCAAAAAACATTATTAATATAACTATATAGTTCTTTTTTGTGTGTATCTAAGAACATAGTCTCAATGTAAAATATCTATAGAACTTTTAAAAAAGTTGACAAATCCATCATAATGGAAAATTTCAACACACTTCTTGTTGTGTCATAATTATACAAAATAAGTCAGAGATGCAGAAAAATTAAGTAACACAGTTAATAATTTTGACCTGCTGGGTGTGTGTATGTGTGTATGTACCTGCACCCAACAGTTAGAGGCCACATTTTCTTTTTATGCACACATTAAGTATTATAGATAATAATCCTGCATTAGGCTATAAAGCACGTCTTAGCAAAATACAAAGAATAGAAACACTGTTACACATCAGTAATAAAAAATAATCTTCACACATATTTTTAAGTAACTTGTGATTCTAGAATTCACATTGGACTTCAGAAATAGAACTGAAAAATGAAAACCTTTTTGTCATTTTTCTGGAGTGATCCTTGAAAAATTTGTGGTAGAGGAGAAAGATTGTAAATCATTAAACCAAAGTTTTACTTAAGAAATCAGAAAAGTAATAACAGAATAAACACAGAGAAATAGAAGGAAGAAAATAATAATGATGATCAAGAAAGAAAATTATGAAATTCAAAATATGACATCCTAGAGACCCATAAAACCAAAAGTTGGCTCTTTGAAGAAACTAATAGTAGATAAGCCTTTGGCAGGATTGTCTTTAGAAGGAAAAAAACAATACAGAAAAGTGGAATGAAAACAGGCACAATTTCAGGCATGGCAGAAATTTAGAAAAATTCTGTGAAAAAATGACACACTTTTCTATTTAAAGATTTAAACAAAATGGGCAATTTCCTTAAAAATATTTTACAAAAAGAAATGAAGCCCTGAATTGTGACTAATAACTGCAATGAGTAGTTATTTAAACTATTCCAGGAAAACAAAAGTACTTTTTAAAAATTATTTATTTACATGTATTTTACATCATTGTTCATTTTGTGTGATGTTTGCTTTCTTTTCTCAGGTGTAGTCCCCTTAAAATTTCTACCACCAGTTCACCTATACTCCATCACAATAGTCCTTTGTGCTCTTCCCACTATCAGTTTGAACCCACTTCCCCCCCGCCCCCGCAGAATGTCTCTGATTTATAGTTATCTGGGTTTTTTTCTTGTGATTTTTATTGTTACTATTTTTCCCCCCTGATCCTTTATTTGGTTCCCCTATATTCCTCCTAAAAGTGAAACCATCTGATATTTTTCTGTTTTCCCTCTGACTTATTTCACTAAGCATAATCCCTTCTAGCTCCATCCATGTTGCTGCAAATGGCATTAGTTTATCCTTTTTGATTCCAGAATAGTGTTCCATTGTGTATATATACCACATCATCTTGATCCAGTCATGTATTTTTGGGCATTTGGGTTGTTTCTAAGTCTTACCTATTATAAATAGTGTTGCAGTAAACATAGGGGTGCAGGTATCGTTTTAAATTAATGTTTTTGTGTCCTTTGGGTAGATCCCTAGGAGTGAAATTGCCGGGTCATATGGTAGCTCCATTTTTAGTAGTCTGAGGTACCTTTACACAGCTTTCCACAGTGGTTGGATCAGTTTGCACTCCCACCAGCAGTGTAGGAGAGTTCCTTTTTCACCACATCCGCGCCACATTTGTTGTTGCTAGTTTTTTTTAAGATGTGCCATTCTTTTTTTTGTTTGTTTTTTTAAAGATTCAGTCATCCATGCATACAAGAGCTGGGGCACAGGCCAGAGCTGCAGAGGGTGAGAGGAATCACCAGAGACAGAGTGGGGAACAGAACAGGCAGATCCACTGAAACACACTGCTGAGGGGAGCAGCGGGCCAGTCAGGAAAGGTCTGCTGTGCCATGTGGGTTACTCCCTGGCTGGCCAGGGATTGAACTGGTGCTGCAGTGGCCACGGACAGCTTCATAGGTTGCATCCCAACCCTTTGTGCCACCAGGGAGGCCCAATATGGACCATTCTTACAGGTGTAAGGTGGTATCTCATTATGGTTTCGATTTCATTTCCCTGATTATGAGAGATGTTGAATATTTTTTCATATGCCTGTTGGCCATTTGCATTTCCTCTTTGGAGAAGTGTCTTTCAAGTTCTTCTGCCCATTTTTTGACTGAATTATTTACTTTGTTTTTGTTGAGTTCTGTGAGTTCTTTGTTTATCTTTGTGATCAGTCCCTTATCAGTTGTATGGAGTGCAAAAATTTGCTCCCAATGAGTAAGGTGTCTCTTTGTTTTGGTTAATGTCTCTTGCTGTGCAGAAGTTTTTTAGTTTGCTGTAATCCCAGATGTTTATCTTTTCCTTCACTTTCTTTGTTTTGGGGATTAGCCTTTTAGGATGTTACTGAGATGTATGCCATGTAGTGATTTACCTATATTTTCTTCTATATGTTTTATGGTGTCAGGTCTTATGTTCAATTCTTTTATCCATTTTGAGTTGATATTTGTGCATGGTGTGAGGTAATTGCCTAGTTTCATTCTTTTGCTTATGGTGGTCCAGTTTTCCCAGCACTATTTATTGAAGAAACTGTCCTTATTCCATTGCATATCCTTTGTTCCTTTGTCAAAGATTAGTTGTCCATGTATGTGTGGCTTTACTTCTGGGCTTTCTGTTTGGTTCCATTGGTTTGTGTGTCTGTTTTTGTTTCAGTACCATACTGGTTTTTTTTTTTTTTTTAATAGAGGCATGTTATTTTATTTATTTATTTGTTTGTTTGTTTGTTTTGTTTATACATGCACTGGGTACAGTCAGAAGCGCGGGAGGGTGAGAGAATTCACCAGAGCCAGAGCGAGGAGCAGAGCAGGCAGAAGGACCGAAGTACACTGCTGAGGGGAGCAGCGGGCGGCAGGAGAGGTCCGCGTGCCATGTGGCACCCTCCTCTGGTGGCCGGGGAGCAGCCGGGGATTGAACCGGGGCTGCAGAGGCCGTGGGCAGCTTCGCAACCCAGTGCTCAACTGCTGCACCACTGGGGAGGCCCTCAGTACCATACTGCTTTAATTATTATGGCTTTATAGTATAGTTTGAAGCCCGGGAGTGTGATGCCTGCATCATCTTCTGTTTTAGTCAGGAGAGCTTCAGCTACTCGAGGTTTTTTTGTGGCTCTGTAAAAAAGACTTTTTTAAAAAATCTAAAAGCAGACCTACAAAAACAGTTTGAAAGCAAGTTCTAGCAGATATCCAAAGACCATCACATTAAAAATCACAAACTCCCCCCAAAATAGAAGATAGAAGGTTCTCCCAATTATTTAATGAAAACAGTATAAATTTGATACCAAAACCAGATAAAGACAAAGAAAATCAAAAGGTGCTCTCTTTATATATAAGCAAACCAAATTCAGTGATATAGATCTAAAATAATACCTCATTACCAAATTTGATTTATACCAGGAATGAGAAGATATAACAGTAGAAAATCTGTATATATGTAGTTAATCACATTAGCAAAAGAGAAAGACCATAGTAACCCAATAAACATAAGAAAGCTTTCATTAAAATTCTGTACTTATATATTAACAAATTTAAGACAAAAGCAAAGAATAAATATCTGGAAATTAATAAGAGTTCGGCAAGTTCGGCAGATATGAGTACAATATGTGAAAAAGAGTTGTATTCATATCCCAGTATGAAAAAGAAAATATAACATAAAAGAATAATAACATTAATGGCAACAGTAACTTCAGTCTGTTATATTAGGTATATTAGGAATAAATCCTACAAAAGATGTTCAGAACTTTCCTTTAGAGAAAATCTTAAATTTTATTGAAAGATAAAATAGAAGATCTAAAATAAATGACAGTATACTATTTTTTGGATAGGAAGACCGAATGTCATAAAATTTCACTTTGCTCTGTATAGTTAATATCCCAATCAAACATTAACTAGTGCTTTTGTGTAAGTTGGCATATTCTAAAATGTGTACGGACCAAAGCGTGAAGTGCCAAGAATAGTTAAGATGCTCCTGAAGAAGGAAATGATACTGGGGGCCTTGTCCTACACAAATTCATAATACGACTGTATTAAGACAGTGTGGAAAGGACCCTGGCCTGTGGGATAGGATAGTACCCATACACACTCATGCCTTTGTAGAGAAACAACCAGAGCATGGACTCTCAGGAGCCAAGACTCCCAAAGTTCAAATTTCAGCCTCTCCACTGTCCTCTGTGGTCAAGTTACTTCGTTTCTCTCTCTTCAATCTACAAATTTGTGACAAGATTACTAATACATAATAGATGTTGTGCATAAGATTTTGTTCAATGAATGAAAAGAAATGGTTTACCAGAGGTGGTTTAACAGTGTAATAGAGAAAGAAGTATTTGATGAATGGTACTGGGATAAATTGGTTATTGGTATCAAAAAAAAAAAAATTTTGAAATAAAATATCCAGATTAACTAAACAACTATGAAAACCAAAATCTGACATATGCTGTAAGGAATATAGAGAAACATTCTTGACCTTTTGGTCAGGAATAATTTTGGGGTGGGGGAATGGTAAAATAACCTCCCTACCCAAATAAAATTTTAAAAGAAAGTTAACTGTGTTAAAATTTAAAACCTTTTTTGCATGTTGATACTGTGAAAAAGGAACAACTTCAGACTAGAAGTGTTTTTTTAATACATAAAGCTACAAAACTTTGGTACCTGAAACAATATTACTGTGCAGTTAACTCATTTCAAGTGCTAAATGGGGAATGATGACACATCTTACCCTGGTTCTCAGCACATTAATGTTTTGCTCCATCAAATAAAAGCAGTTGAAAGTATATATCCTGGAACAGTTAGCTGTGGAAGAGTATGTACTGTAAGGAGTTGGATGCACCCCATGTTTTTTTTTAAAGATTTATTTATTTATTTATACAAGCACTGGGTACAGTCAGAAGTGCTGGGAGGGTGAGAGAATTTGCCAGAGCGGGGAGCAGAGCAGGCAGAAGGACTGAAGTACACTGCTGAGGGGAGCAGCGGGTAGCAGGAGAGGTCTGCGTGCCATGTGGGACCCTCCTCTGGTGGCCCAGGAGCAGCCAGGAATCGGACCAGCACTGCAGAGGCTGTGGGCAGCTTCGCAACCCAGGATTCAACCGCTGCGCCACCGGGGAGGCCCACACCCCATGTTTTTATACACAGTTCAGTTAGACCAGAGACTTTGTTTTTTAAAGTATCTACTTCATAGTTCTCCTCAAATTATGTGCATTGACTGTCTCCTTAATACAGCAGTGTCAATTCTGTTTTAATCTTCATTATGTTTAGCTTCATTCTTTCTAAAAACAATCCTATAAACAGAACAGTATTTTATTTAGAACAAACATGTCTTTGTTCAGGTTGCAAGGTATATTGTTTACTTGCCTGGCTTTGCATTTAACCTGTTTTTTTCCCTCCCTAGTACCTGTTACTTTTAGTGCATAATTTTCTAGAAAGCAGGGTTCATCAGATATGGTGTACATTTTATTATAACAAATATCTGAATGATAAATTCCTATATAACTTCTTCTATAAGAAAAAGACAAATTGAAATTGAAAATTTGTCCAGTTTTAATAGTCAGTTCAGATAAAAGACCCCTAAATGGACAGAAACATGCAAATGTAAGTTGGTATACCTGGCAGTCATTACTGTGGCTGTACATATCCTACAACTCAGTGATTCTGATTCTACTCTAGGTTTATGCCTTGGAGGAATTCTTGATCTGCTCTGGAACAATGCTTCTACACATTTGTATAAAGTAGCTTAACATCGGAGCATAACCAATACGATACTTTCTTCACTTATTCTTGCAATGATTTTAAACAAAAATCAAAATAATGTGTTTGTTTAATGGCAAAATTAATGTATAAACTGGCTTAAGTCCTTAACATTTTGAGAACTGTCGAAAAGCAGCTAGCTGGTAGATTTGAATTTTATCACCACAAACAAGTTTGAGAAAATAGAATGGCATGTCTCAGTATTATGTTGGAGGACCACTCTAATGATTATATTTAATCATTAGACCACACTTTAAGTAGCACTTAGCATACTACGTATAAGAAAGTTCGTAACATCACCAAAAGTGTCCATCAGTAAGAGAATGGCTGTGTAAATTACAGTGTGGTTATGTAATGGAATACTATGGACACTGAAAATGTAAGAACCAGAGCATTACTTATTATTAACAATTAGAAATCTCAACCAAGGAAGGGTGGGGTGGGCGGAGAAAGCAATTAGAAAAGGCATACTTTATGGTAACATTTACATAAAATTTAAAACATAGAAACAGTACCCTGTGTTGTTTTGTAATATACTTTGTATATAGTAACAGCATAAGAAAATGCCTAAGAATGAAAGCACCAAATTTAGTATACTAATTTTTTTTGCTAGAATTGAGAGAGGGAATATAATATTTTAATAATGTGGGTAGATAGCAATTACTCTGAGATGGACTGAGAGTTTTAAATGATTACTTTCTCAAGATGAGCCAGAATTACATGGTTATAAAATAAGAAGTACCCATTTTAGGTCACATACTGTTCAGATATACTGTTCAGATATACTGTTCAGATATACTGTGGGTTGTTAATAACCTGTTCAATTCTTGGTATTCATCTTAAGAAGTGTTCTGAAATACCATGGGACCTCTAGACCTGGGTGAGAAGAATGAAAAAACAGGCTGAAAACAATGCCATAAGCCTTATTTGGCATGTTTACTTAGACAAAAAGATTTAATGGCAACAGTAATTGTTTTAGATATTTGAAAGAATATCATGTTGAATAGATTTTTTACCTTTTAATTTCATCCATCATTAATTAATATGAATTTAAACCTTTAGCATATCAGCCAAGATGTCTAGCTTTGTGTGGCCCATGCAAATTTGACATGTGTGAACAATGACATGTTATTGTCATTGTTATTTTGAATCCTGTTTGGGTGTCTTACTAGCTGTTATTTTGAATCCTGTTTGGGTGTCTTACTAGCTGTTGGGAAAGTTACTTTTGAAGGTCTTGACTTTATCATTTATCACAGTGAAATAGAAATTTCCTTAGTCATAGAAATGTTCTGTAGTTCAGTAGAGTTGCCACTTTTAGACTTTCAAGCACTTGAAATATGATTGTTGTGACTGAGGAAATGAACTTTACTTTAATCTTGATGAATTTAAATTTAAATAGTTATATATGCTCATGACTACTACATTCGACAATGCAGATTTACAGTGAGTATCATTTCACTTCTAATAAAATCATGAAGTACTTTACAGATGCAAGCGGATATATTTATTTGGATGTGTTTGTATTACAGGTGGGATAGACGTAAGTATTCATTCCTCCCATATAAGTATGGTCTTTTTAAATGTGATATTGTATTGTAAAGAATTAAAAATAAAATGTTTATTACACTGATTGGTATCATGAACAGGTTAATTTTTGCATAATTGAATAGCTAAGAAGAGAAATAACTATCCAGATCTGTCATTATATTTTGAATAATAGTACAGTGATAGTTTTTCAGATTGTCTTTTGGTTATGGTTGTTCTGTTGAAACTTTAAAGTACTTTTTAGCATAATTTTGCAACGATTAGTTATTTAACTGGTTAGAATAATCAAAATGTAATGAACATATATAGTCATTAAAAATGCTAAATTTTTTTCTGCAAAGAAATATCAAAATCAATGATAAATATTTTTATTACAGTTGACATATAAAATTAAACATAAGTATTTCAATGTTCCTTCTTTTCTAGCTGCATAGATGAATGGTTTGAAGTAAATAGATCTTGCCCTGAGCACCCTTCAGATTAAGCATCAACTTCCTACTTTATAGGTAATTCTCACTTTTTCTGTTATGAATTGCACATTCTCAATCATTTTATTGTTTATTCATAGAGCTGTGCATGTGTGGGTGTGTGTGTTCCACACATTGTGTTAGGCTACCATTTTGAAAACTCATGTGAAGGATACATGATTAAAACCAACTTTTTATTATATTTATTTATTTTACATTGTTGTTCATTTTTGTACAATGTTTGATATCTCTTCTCAGGTGTAATCCCTGTAACATTCCCACCACTGAATCACCTGTGAACCTTCACCATAGTCTCTTGTGCTCTTCCCTCTCCTGTTTTAACCCTCCTCTCTATCCCTCCCCTGCTGTAGGACTCAGATTTTTAATTTGTTTGCTAGCTTTCTTTTTTTATCCCTGACCCCTTGTTTGGTTTCCCTATATTCTTCCTATAAGTGAGCCCATTGGATATTTTTCTTTTTCTGACTTACTTCACTGAGCATAATCCCTTCCAACTCCATCCATGTTGCTGCAAATACCATGAGTTTATCTTTTTTGATTGCTAAGTACTATTCCTCTGTGTATATATACCACATTTTCTTGATCCAAACATCTGGTTTTGGGCATTTAGGTTGAAAAGCAACTTTCTTGATGACTGCAGAGAGTCATAGATTGAGTAAATTCTGCATTCCTGGTACTTTAAAACACTTTATTTTATTTTAGTTTAAAAAAAAAAAAACATGAAATACATGTTATGAACCCATTTTACCGGTGAGAAAGCTGAGGGTCAAACTAAGTTCCATGACTTTAAGAAGCAAGTTGCACCAACAGTCCAATCAAATTTCATACTCTTAAAGATAAAACCTCTCAGGTATGTTCTTCAGTAATGCAATATAATATAATAAAATGATAATTAGAGTTTATATTGCAGGGATTGTTCTAAGCATTTCACATCTATTAATCACTCATCTAATTGGCCTAACAACCCATTGAGCTCAGTATTCTTACAATTGCCATTTTGCAAATGAGAAAATTATCTTATAGAGGCAAAAAAACTTGTCAAAGTCACATAGCTAGTTCTTGGGTGGAGGTAGGGTTCTGGCTCCAAAGACTATGTTCTTGACAGTTTTGCTAATTTATTAGATAGGAACATTTTCTTCAAAAAGTTGCATCATGACTTCATTCAATTTAATCTTTCATCTTTATATTCTCAGCATGTAGTATGGTACATGTTGATATAGTAGATCCAAAAAAAATGAAATTTGAGCTATATACAGAATCTGTTTTGCTCTGCTGATTTGGCTTTTTTATAATTCTGCATTATTTGAAAATGTTCCGTGAATGGAACGATAATTTCACTCGAGCATTGCTTTTTTCTGTGTTCCATGAAGTGATTTAAATGGCATTATTCAGCATTAAAAAAAAAAAAAGCGAACTTAATTGCTATTTCCTATATATGAAAAGCTTTATATTGAGAGGACTTGCAGAATTGTTATAAAGAATTGGGTTTTTACATTGAGGAAAACATTACAGCTACTCTTGGATTTGTCTCAGAGGATTAGAGAGCCTCTGTGTTCAGAAGACAGTAATAGACAACAATCTTTTCTCAGTGGCTAAGACTGTTAGCGGGGGCTAAGACTGGAGGCAGGGAGCTAAGGCAATAATATCCTGAGATCTAGTCCTGTGTTGTCACTCCATTTCCTTTTATGTCAGTAACTCTTGGTCATACATTGAGAATGTAGGTGAGGTATAAACACACTCAAGGAATTCTTACTACTCTTGATGAAGGCAATTTAATTATCAGGTTAGTATATTAAAGGAGATTTCAGGTAATTTAATAGCAGCTGCAGTAACTACAGAACTACAAATTAAGTGTTACAATAACACTAGGGTTATGCATGTGAAATGTTAAAACCTTGGAAAACTAGAGTGTACTGCAAGACCACCTCGCCCTTTTACTGTGAGGTTTCTTAGTCATATCTGGATACATATTTAAAGTATGAATTGGGATAAGATTGCTGTGTAAGAGAAGCGTGGGCACAGAGTGGTATTTTGACTATAGTGTTTTTATTTTACCATGAAAAACTAGGGGATGATTTATAATGTCTTCATTGTTAACCTATACCTGGGTCAATAAGCAAAACTGACTAAAATTATAGATGTTATTTTAAGAAGAAGCACTGAAATCCACTGCTAATAGAATGAAGTTTTTATCTTATGTTAGTTGCTGAAGTAATATGTCTAAATCCTTCTATAGGTAAAATTTGTCTTTTACAAATATACAGTAAATAAACTTTTTCTGTGAAGTAGAATTTTATGGTGTAATTTGTTTTCTTTTTAATTTCATAATCAAATGAGCTTAATTTTTTCTTTAGTGCACAGTGAACTTGTGGGATATGTGGAATATACATCTTATCTCATAGTTAACATGCATATAGCTATTAAACAGCATTTTAGTTTCTTTTACCTTATGTATTATTATCTCTTTATTTTTTTTAAATATATGTAGAACCTCAGTTTGGTGACAGCTGCCCTCAGAAATCTGAGTCAGTGGAATCTTTCTCTCTGGTTCTTGAAGAATCATTTTTAAGAACACATAGACATGGAATATATTGGCTGTCATATTTTTGCTTCCTTTCAGACTGCTCTTATTTACTGAATGAAAAATTCCTCCTATCTCTTTTGCTGTCCCAGATAAAAATGTATGGGTTTGAAGAGGATTTAATGTTAAAACATTTTTTTCACAGAACAGTACAACAAACTGTAACATTTCTAGTATTCTAAGGGATTTAAAAGTTATCCCCAAATAGATATGCAGCATTATCTAAAGATATTGATTAGTTAGGAGATAGATACTATTCTTGATTTGAGATTTTGGTTATTTGGGGAGAGAGTAATAAGTTTGTGTGCTTGTGTGTAATTTCTGTACTTTGCTGCAGTCTTTATTGCAGAGTGGTAATGACTTATGCAGTGACTATTCTTTTGACTGCTTTAAGATTTGATCACCCTTCTCTGTCCTTGATCTCTTCTTTTGTAGAAATACTAATTTTATGAATTTCTAGAATAATAATTAAGTGTATAAAAATTTACTGTAACTAAAGTAATGTTGATAGGGAAATGTTTTGATTTGTAATACTGTTGTGGACCACTGCATAATCTAAATGTATCTACTTTTCACACAGATTTTCTTGACTTTTCAAGATGCTTGAAAAACCTAGAGCTTATGAAGATCTGTCTCTGGAGAAACAACAGAAATGCAGGCATACTCAGTCAGAAATCTGAGTTCTGGGAAACTCGGTAATGCAGAGATGGACAATCACACACAGGGGAAAGTAATTCTGCTGAAGAGAGGACAGTAACCACAGAACTCAGTGTACCAAACATGCATATAAAGGACACACAGGGATTTTGAAAATGCTGCACATCCCTTATTTTAGTCATCTACGTAGGTAATACTGATAAACATTTTGTATTCAGACGCCAAAGTTAACTGATTTAAAAGTTGATTTACTTTTTATTAAGTTCTCTAGAGTTGCGCAACTGGTTGTGTTTTGATTTGTTTTTTAGTTTGGGGTCTCTTTATTTTCCCCAACATGATGTTTCTGCATTCATCTATGCTTAATTAAACTGAAGACCATATAACGTCTTATAAAGTCCTAAATGTGAAACCAAGAAATGTAATCAAGCAGTAAAACATTCTCTGAATGTAGACCATGACCCAAGTTCTTCTATTTTTCCCCCAGAATGGAAAAGACTTATACATTGGAAAGCTAAAATGTGTTAATATTTTATAATTAAAGGCATACTATTATCAGAATGCAGTCCAAAGAGTAAATCAAGTTTTACAGAATTACACTTTAATTAAATATGAAATTGTCTACTGAATTGCAGTTTATAAAATATCTCGTCTCATCTTAAATAAAGTTGCTCAACAGTTAATTAGTAATGAATCATCTTGTAGCTATGCAACTTTTTAAAAAATATGAATTACCAATTTTAAGTGCTGCCAGCTACAATAACTTTATTTTAACGGGTATTTTTGTTTGTTCCTTTCATATAATTATTTTATTGTGCTTTGCATCTCCAGGCAGTTTTCCCATATTTGGGTAAAATGTTTATTAGCAGGTTGTAAACTGAATAACTTATGAAAAGGGTGAAATAAAATTTTCTTGAGTGGAACTTGGAATAATTTGAGGACTTTTATATACTTTTAAAAATCAGCATTTAGTTGGGATGCTAGATTTATAGTAATTCGCATCTTTAGTTTTCCAGATAATCTGGAGATTAGTGTTTGATAAATGATTTTTTAAAGCAAATATGAAGATTTTGTTAATTTATAATTTATTAATGTGTTATTACTGTAATTGAAAATGTTATAGAGACTTTGGAATTCAGTCTTGTGTGAAAAGAAATGTATTAAGCAAAACTATGTGAATAAATATTCCCACAAACTACATCTGAATGGTTAAAAAGTACTGGAAGAGAGCTATCAGGGCTACCCTAGTGAATGTCTTTTTTTATTTTAAATATCAAGATTACCAGTAAGAAAATTTTGTGTTTTCAACATAGGGAAAATGTTATCAATGAACAGTGCACTTTACTCGGTATAACTGAAAGTTGCACAGTGCTCTTTCCTTATTTTAAGTTTTCTTTATTTAAGTAGTTGCTTTTCTCTTTAATGCTGCTACTCCTATTCTCAAATCAAAGTCCTCCCTGCCCCCATCCCCCAATTGCTTCTGTTTCTTTTTTTTTTTTTTTTTTTTTAAGGGCATGTACAGGAGCAACTGCTGCTACCCAAAAAAGTCTGTGTATTATAAACAAAAGAGTTTTTAATTGCTTTTTGTGTGAGTCTAGACCAGATAACATTTTCCCTAAAGTTATGCTGTGAAATGCCTTTTGTTATGCTGCAATTGATAAAAGAATCCAAAACCTCCATTGTAACAGCTGACAGCACAGTTACATAGGTGCTTTTTAACCAGTATGGAAAATATTCTTCCCTCAACGAAAATATTCTTTCCATAATTTTTTGTTCTGTTATCAGGAAATCTTGATATGATTCCATTTTATTTCACACTTTCAATTTTGTAAGCTGTCACCACACACACACACACACACACGAAAAATTTTTAGAATGTGAATAATTCATTTGTTTTTTTACTACTGGTATATTGCTATGATGAAAATTATTTTATTGTCTTCCATTCTTAAAGGAAGAAATTTACTATAGATATGGTAGTTAACTGTTTATATACCACAAGTTGATTTTCTGATATGATTTACTCATTGACTTTTAAAAATTTATTAGCTTAATTTGACTTTTCCTTCGTGCTGTATTATGCTCTCACAATCTTAACTTTCTGTTTGTCAAAGTTCTGTGCTGCAGCTGCTACAGTAGAAGCGCCTGTGGTTTAAAAGAGAGTTCATTGTTTGTCAGTGTTAAGTACTACTTGATTACTATATTTGTCTAGAACAGTATTTACTTAAATTTATTTATAGCATTCCCTTTTTGTTAAAATTTACAAAAGTTAGCATTTTTTACTTAAAATTCAGTATCCATCAATGACTTCCTAAAGAGAATAATGTAGAAATTGAAAAGAAAATCTTTGAAATGCTCCAGTTTTTATTCAGAGTCATTATTCTGAAAATATTATAAGTAATATTCCACATAATGTCACTTATAATATTTGTAAATATGCAGACACTGAACAGTTTAAGTAGGATGTGTGTCACATTAGGTATTTAAATGTGTAGCTAAAGTACTGACAACTAAATATTATGAAGGCAAAATAAAGATTGAAAGTCTAGGTTATCAAGTTGCTTATAACTTTTTAGGATTTTTGTAAATACTTGTTTTCAAATAAGATTACACATGCATATATAGAAAGCAGTATGTTGTGAAATTTTTTACTTCAGTGCCACTCTTCAGAATGGGTTTATTGCCAATTTTGACCCCTTACCTTACTTTGATCTAGTTCTTGGTTTTGGTTTTGGTTTTTTTGCCAGAATGTATAAGTGATACTAAAATTAATTCAGTCTTACTTGATGCTTTGCCAGAGAAATAGACTAGTCATAGTCTTAATCTTTGTTTTTCAGATCTGGTTATAAATCAGATATAGATTGTGTTTAAGCAGTGATTATGATGAAATATAAATAATGGTTTTTGTAACTGATATTTTGTGATAGCTGAAAAATTATTTTAGAAGTCATTAACTGTTGCATATTACATAAGTTTTGTTTTCTTAATACACATATTTCTTTTGAATGTATTTTAATTTTCACCCACTAAACACTTTACTACAGTGTAACCCCAAAATGCCTGTAGCGCACCCTCAACATATTTGCAGTATGTATTTTGAAAAGATTTCTGTTTAAGAATTAATGAAAGTGGCAGATTCCTCTCCAAACTTTATTTTACTTTCTAAATTTGGGTATAGTTTAAAAACAATCATTTAAATTACTATATTATAGCAACACATAGGAGTATATCTTTAATTGAAAAAGACTGTAAATTCAATGTAAATATACGTAATTTTATTTACTAACTTGGGAGTGTTGAAGTAGGGAAATTTCTTAACAATAAACTACATTTGAACAAAGCATGAAACTTCTTTAAAACTCAAGAATAATTGAATTTGCCATCTATTAAACAACCACATTATGTGTTGATAATATTCAAATCATCTTGCTCTTTCACAGAGGTTTCCATTTAAATTAGATTATCGGGAACTGCAAAACTAGTGAATGTTGCTTATTAAATGAGTACAGTTTATTAGTTGCAGTATGTCCTTAGTTCATTGAGGTCATTTTCTTGCAATTTTGATTTATCCCACAGTGAACTCAGTACATACGGACAATGGGTGTATAAATGTGAAGTGTTCCTTGTTCTTGTACAGATCCTCTCCAAGTTGAAAAAAAAATTGAGCATGCCATTATTTTCTCTTTGGCCCAGTCATCTTTTTTTCTGAAGTAACTTCTGATTTTTTTCTGTGCTATATTGTGAATAACAGTAGTTAACCTATTTTACTGTCTACTTTTCTAGCTAGAAACAAAATTGCTGCTTGGTTTTCTTTAGAAGAAATTGCTACTTTATATACTCCTAGTAGTAATTCTTATTCAGGATCAACAGGTAAAAATTTTTTGATAATGACTTAACCAAACAATACTTTTATACCATATTCTGTGAATGCTATGCTGAAGTTAGGAAACTGTTCATTTTAAGTCACAAAATTCCTGCATTGAATGGGAAATAACAGGTCTTTTATGTAAGCTAATTCTCTGTGGGAAGGAAAAGGCATTGAAGAAGACCAAGTATCAATAAATTAATATTCTAGTTGTAAATGCAACTAAAGGGGATTTGGTATATTTTCAAGTATTTAAGCCTTGTTAATTTTAGACCAATAGCTAATAATAAGCTAGATTGTTGGATGCTTGTTTATCGAGAAGCAAAGAACAGGTTGGCATAATCTTTCACATCTCAGAAATTAATGAAAAAAAATGTAAGTGATATTGTTGTATCTATTACCAAAACTGCATCTTAGCTCTGCCCTGGAATGTGAAGCATCTGTCAGGCTCCCAAGTCTTAAAGCCAGAGAGACTTATTTCTCTGTCATAAATTCTCAATGCCTTCCATCTCAATCTGATCTGCTGAGATTGATAGGTACTAGTGATTTTTGTTCACAAGCATAGTTCTGCTGGCAGGTACCCTGTTACCACTGAATCTGCTGTCAGCATCTTGAAAAGGTTTCATTATTAATCAGTGGCATTTTGAGCACCTGTGTGCAATATAATGCAGTTAATGACCTTATAGGAAGATATGAAAGAAACTTTGAATTTGATGATGATATTACTCCACTAGACTAGTCCATTATGTTTTATTTCTTGGCATTGAGTATTTATGTGCATTTCATTGTTTAAAAATCATGGTAATAATAGACAAACCTGGTAAACCTCTATTGCTTTGTTCATGATCTCCACAACTCTTCTGTAATACCTCTTTATTTCTCTACTAGTATTCTGTTAAATAAGGTATCAAATGCATCAGTCACAAAAACATACAAAATGTTTTAGGAACAGCTTGTATTAGTATGTTCTAAACTGAGATGGAACGATTCATTATTGATATTTTAATAAATAAAACTTCCAAATGATCTTGCCAAATTATCCCATTATTTAGAGGTACAAAATAAGACAAGATTGCTTGCAAGGAAATTTGTCAGTCACCGTTATGTGTAGGAATTGACAGTACATTACAATGCTGAAAATTCACCATGAATTAACTGATTTTTTTGTTTCTTCACCTATTTTTGTACATTCATTGCCACAAAGTTGAATCCAAAAGTATTAAAATTCTGTAATAGCTTAAGAAGAAAAACTAGTAATAATGGACAAAGAGATCTTTCTTTATTACCTTAACTATTAGTAAAGATGTACTTTGAAATTTCTAATGTAAAACCTATTTGTAAAATTTTGTGATTGAAATATGTTGGGGAGCTTCTAAGTTTTAAAAAGGAATGGTCTGCTAGTGCATAATCACAGCTTCTAAAATATAGATTGTATTTAGTAATATTCAGTATGTCTTTCAGGGGGGAGTAATAAATATTTTGAAGCACAGTTTCATGATGGAAGAGGTATTGAGTTTTGTGATATAGTGATTAAGAACTTGGGTTTGAGCCCATATTTCCTAGTTTTGCCATCTCCATGACATTGAGAAAGAGTTCTCTGTGCTTCACCTTTACCTATGAGAAGAGGTAATACTACTTCATACTTCAAGATTGTGAGGATTAAATTGGAAGGTACATGTATGTATCAGACACAGTAATCACTTAATAATGGTGGTGGTTATTATAAAATACAATATTTGTGCCCATCTATGAAAATTTTAATTCTCTCCACTTGTGAGGTATAATAGTATTGTGTAAGACCTGTTGAGAAGCCTTAGTGTACTAGAGATTGTACTAAGTATAATAGAGGACATTGTTTATTCTGATATTCTCTCTTCCCAAAAACTAGTGATTTGCTTTTTCAGCAAATTATATATTAAGTACTGCTTGCTTCTCTTTACTATTAGGGATTAAGAATATAGAAATCAAAGACAGCTGACCTTTAGGAATTTAATTTTTAGTGGGTGAAGCAAATAAACAATCATGTTATAAAGAGTAATCAAAGCTATGATAGACTTATATATAGGGTATTGTGCAGGTGAAGAGGACAGTTATTAAACTCAGACTAGACAAGAAAATGGTTAAATCTTTAAGAACAAATCGATCATTGTTGTAGGGGATATGGATAAGAGAACATACAAAGTGGGACGTTTTGGAATATTATTTCCAAGGCAGAAAGTATAGCACATAAAACCAGAACACTCTTGGAAAACTGCTAGGTCTAGAGCTAAGCAGGTGAAAAATCATGAAGGCATTTTTGTGCCAAGTTATGATTGACAGCTCTTAAGCAGGTAAA